AGGCAAATAGAAAAAAAATAAGCATCTATCGCAATTGAATTATTTTCAATAAATTACATATTGCGAAAAAGCTAAATTCAAGAACTCATTAAATCCAAATCTATGTGTTGAAATGAAATGCATGATCTATGTATCTAGAATTTCTTGATAAAAAGGCATACTGTTAGATTTTCATAAATTTGCTCCAAATTTTATTTTTCAAGTGTTATAGTAAATCCCTTCTCTTTCATTGCGTAACTTAGAAAATAATTTGAATGATATAATTAGGAAAGATTCTCTAGAAGCAATATGTTAGAGCTGCAAGAAAAATAAAGACTCGTGCTACCTTGTTATAGATGCTGGGATGTTGACATGTTGTTAATCAACTATGCTCGCTTCAGTGTTTGTAGTAGTCGATAGGTGGTCTACGAATCTGGATACAATTTTTTATTATTTCTGGTGTTTGTTGTTTTGCTAGTGTTGAAGATGGATAGATCGAAAGTTTTCTCTCTCAAAAAAATCAACTATGCTGCTGGGAATGAATGTCAATTAAACTATGACTTGGATGCCCTGCAGGTGCATCTGGTGGAGTGGCTCAAAATGATGGTTGGCACGAAGAGAGCCGACGAGGTTGTGGACCGTGACATGGAGGTGAAGCCAACCGCATCGGCCCTAAATCGTGCCCTTCTAGTGGCACAGAGGTGCATCGACCCAGAACCGGAGAGAAGACCCACGATGGGTCGCGTTGTTCAGATGCTCGAGGCAGACGACCTCCAGGCCCCGGCCGATGGTAGTAGAGATAGCAGCAGCAGCAGGTTGAGCATTTCATGTGGGGCATTGCACTTCCTTTTGTCTAGGCGGTAGAGAGAGAAGAACAGTGCTGAACTGCTGATTGATCATCAACCCCTGAGACCTTTGTTGTTGCTTCCTTTCGGCACCTTGTATACTCTTCTTTTATATTGGCTCAGGATATCTCTCGAGCACTTGCAACATTTAAATAAAGTGGAGCACAAACTGGAGATATGTATCGAATATGTGTCATACTGCTATTATTATTATTTTTCTTTCGAAAAGGAAGGTTGAACCTCGGTCATGCTGTCATACTATCTACTAGATCATGATGGCACGCGTTGCTGCGCCCGTATATTTTTAGAAAATTTAGAATATTATGTAAACATTTGAAAAAATATAATTCAAAAAAACAAAGTTACATAAAGGATAATTTAATTATTCACATAATGGGAGACTTTCTGTCCCGTTATACTGTTTCTTAATCAATGTATATGAGATAGGCATCCCAATCTCACCAACTGAGAGACACAAAAACAAAGAAATTGACTATGTCAACGCCACCACCGAAGAAGCATACATACAGGATTAACGAATCATCCACAGTTGATTTGTGAATAATATATATACGGATACTTCTTACCATGCCTGACTTAACCCCAAAAGGCTAGGAATGTCCGCATCACACATTAACCCCAAAATTTTCCATAGTGATCAAGAATCTCACACTTTAGCCCAGCGGGTGGATATATAAGTAGTGATCAAGAATCTCAAAATTTAGCACAACGGGTAAGACGGTGGGTATAGAAGTTTTTCCCGGGACAAATAAGTAAGAGACTTGTATCCAAAAGAAAAGTTTAGAGACTAAAGCACTAGCAATGCTCACGGCCGCTGGGATGAACACGTGCACCTACCTTTTGGGCTAGGATCACGTTTCAAGCTTCATCATCGTGTGGGTTAAACGCACGCACCCGCCGGCCCAATAAGCACTCGTGGCCCAAACAATCACAGCTGGCCTAGATAGCTTCACGGAGCAGCGGCCCAAGAGAAACATAAGGACATCCAAGATCGACCTGATCGGATGGTTAGCGATGGCAAAGCGCCGTGGAGGCTCCTAGCTCGTTCTGTTATACTGTTTCTCAATTCCACTGCTATAAACATAGGAACATACTATCAGTCACTACATGCAAACAAAAGCACACATTTCATCATCTTTGGTGTTGGCTGCAGTCTGCAGCAGCTGCTGAAGGGTACCAAAACCTGTTAGACAGGCCCTGCACATCGGCATCCCAGGCGCTCCTCAGGGTGGTCTCAAGGGAGCGGTTCACCCCGCCGACACGCTGCTGCGAATCGGGCCGAACCGGGCTGCCCTGCTCCTGGTAGTGCAGCCGGTCGCTCAGCATGCGGCGGCTCATGCTCCCGGCGTCGCTGCTCGGGGCGGAGATGCAGCCGCCGGACTCCACCACCATATCGCCCTCCAGGATGCGGAGAACCTGACAAACAGGCAGAACATTCAGGAAGAAAGGTAAGCAACTACGCATGACACTGAAGATTGATCATACTGAGAGCTTCAGAGGGTGCAAATGTTTGTGTGGGAACATTTGACTGACATGTGACATGCGCGGCCTCGAATGCGGGTCGCGCCGTATGCAGAGGTTCGCCGCGTGCAGCATGCAGTAGACCTCGTTCTCGCAGAAGCGGTCCTCGAGGCGCGGGTCAATGAGCTCGTCGATCGCGTGCTCCTCCAGCAATGGCCGGGCCTGTTTTGCAAATGAAGGGAACAGGGTCAGAACATATTATAGTTATACCAGGAGAAGGTTCTTCCAATGAAGGCTGGGCCTGTCGACCCAGATGAATCGAAACAGCGCAAAATTCATTTTGCTTTCGGTTTGTGTTGCTGATGGAGCATGAACAGGTACACACAAAAAATACTATCTGCCAGTTTCATATTGGCTCATGGCGTAAACATCATCTGAATATATGGATTTTCCCTATATATATATATATATATATATATATATATATATATATATATATTTGGTTGGTGAAAACTACCATTTAGCAGTGATCAGAGTGGTTTCTTACCATTAAACGGTGGAAAATAAATTCAGAAAGGAAATTATGGTAGCAGCAGTTATCTAATTATTCAGTGAGCTCACCCATTCAGTCAGGAACTGCTGGCCCTTGGGTCTGTTGATATCGACGGCCTTGCGTCCAGTGACAAGTTCCACTAGAACAACCCCAAATGAGTACACATCGGCCTTCTCGGTAATTTGCCCGCTCTGAGCATACTCAGGTGCCAGGTAACTGTACCCAGTAAAAGGGTTTTTCAGATTTGCCAAATTTCACAAATTATATACCTGACCAAGCATGGGAAAGTTGCATGTCTGATCACTCACCCGAATGTGCCGATGACTCTTGTGTCAACACCCATGTCTCCGTCAGGTTGCCATCTGGCCAGCCCGAAATCGCCGACCTGTCACACCATCATGAGGAAATTTCAGGCTCAAATGTAATGTAACAAGCCAAAACCTGGCATAGCAACGCCAATTGGAAGACAATTCTGTCACGCTTAACTGCATAATAAATCTACAGCATGACCAGACACTGAGTTTTATGAGTAACAAAGCCAGAAACAACAGTTGCAATAATCAAGTCTGGGGAGCTAAGATAACATATACTCCCTCTGTAAAGAAATATAAGAGTGTTTAGATCACTAAATATAAGAGCGTTTAGATCACTACTTTAGTGATCTAAATGCTCTTATATTTCTTCACGGAGGTAGTTCTTATTTAGCTTGGCTCATGATTAAGTTCCAAAATGAACAGGTATGTGGTAAGCCTTTATAGCATTGGAATCATGCAATGTTAACATGATTACAAAAAGTAAATTTCAATGCTGGCAACAGCCTTCTTTTCATCGTAACAAAGGCCGATGATCATTTCGTACCAGTGGCTCGAAATCATGCGTGACGAGGATGTTGTTCGGCCTCATGTCGCGGTGGATAATGCAGCCGACCCTGCATTCCTCATGGAGGTACCGCAGCCCCCTGGCGGCGCCAACCGCGATCTTCTGCCTGGCAGCCCACCCCAACGTCTCCTTGTGACGGCCTGACAGAGAGCAACAACCAATAAGTTCAGTTAGCAAGGTGCATTTTTCAACAGCTGAATTTGTCACACTGAGTTTCTGAGTTTTGCACGATAAGATTACTAGCTTACCATAGAGATGAGTGTCGAGTGATCTGTTGCAGATGTACTCGTAGACCAGCAGCCTCCTCTTGCCCTCGACGCAGAACCCGATGAGCATGACGACGTTGCGGTGCTGCGCGCAGCTGAGCACCTCCACCTCGGAGCAGAACTCGACGTCGCCCTGCGAGCTGCTGGCGAGCCTGTGCTGCTTCACGGCGATGGCCTGGCCGTCAGGCAGCACCCCTCGGTGCACGGACCCGAACCCGCCCTCGGCCAGGAAGTTGGCCCTGGAGAAGCCGCCCGTGGCGTGCTCCAGCTCGGCGTAGCTGAACCACCGCGGCGGCTTCCCGAACACGGGCGTCTTGTGCTGGCACACCGAGCACAGCGGCGGCGGCCCCGGCGCGGGGGTCCGGGAGAGGGACACCACGTCTCGCACGTTGCCTCTGAAGTTGAGGTCGGACCTGCTCCTGACGGCGCTGATCTCGGTCAGCAGGTCCAGCTTGGCGATCTTCTCCAGCAGCGCGTCGGCCGTCGGGGTTCTTCGGCGGGTTGGTGTGGGTCTGGGGGACGCGCCGGGTCGCTGCAGGATGTCGGCCATCCATGGCTGCAGCGACGGCGAGGCTGCCGCTGATGATGGTGCCTGAGGAGTTGCAGCTGTAGCTGATGCTGAAGCTTCACTCTCAGGGTCAGATAGTACATGGACAGTTTCTGCATGCTTGAGAGGGCTCATATCTCTTTCTGAAACACAAGCTGGAGTGGTGGTGCCGAGGCCTGAGCTTGCGGCGGAGGATGCTCCGGTGGAATCGTCGAACGCCTCCGTCCCCGGCGAGCTGCTGTCTGTTTCTGAAGCGAACAGTGGAGAGGTTGCAGGGTCTGTTGAGCTTGACACGGAGGTTGCATCGGCATTGATGGTGTCTTGTTTCTTCAGAGAGCTACCGTCTGTTTCTGAAGCACGCAATGGAGAATCGCCTGGGTTTGTTGAGTTTGACAGAGGAGATGTTCCCGCATCCTCGGATTCTTCTTCTGTCTTCTTCTTCATCAGAGAGATGCATGCTTCTTCTGAAGCACACAGTGGAAAAATTCCCGCTTCTTCTGAAGAACTTGGCGCGGAGGACGCTCCCACATCCTCTGCTTCTTCTTTCCTCAGAGAGATGCAGATGCCGGCCTCTTCTGAAGGTGAAGCAGACAATGGGGAAGCGCCGGGGTCCGAGGTCGACATGGAGGAGGAAGCTCCGGCGTCGTCGGTGCTGCCAGACGGCGTCTGTGAGTCCGGGCTGAAGCTCGGCGGCGTCACGGCGGGTCTCCGGACCGAAGCCGTCTCCTCGTTCGCACCATCTTGGGCTCTGGGCTCGGGCTGGGGCGGGGGAGCTGCCGGCTCCGGGCGTGGCTCCTCCGTGGAGCAGGCGAGGTTGAGCCGGAGCACCTTGGGCCGGGAGCGCCTGACGGCGACGATGTTGCACTGGAGCTCCTCCATGCAGCGCGTCTCCTCGACCTTGAGATCCCTGAATCAAGCAGCAGCAGCAAATGCAACATCACACCACTGCATTTTTAAACTGAAGAAACTGTCGAGCTGCTGCGCCAGTGTGATATTATCAGTACCTGTCGAGCACGACCCAGCTCGCCCGCGCCCGCTTCGCCTCGGCGGCCACGGCGCCGGGGCCCGCGCCGGCGACGATCCTCACCCTCAGGTCCACCTGCGCCAAGCGCAGCAACAGGAGGGAGGCACTTCATTCAGACAAATTTCAGTGGCGAAGTGACGAGCAGGAGAGCAGCGGGTAGCTGACCTTGGTGGGGTCGTAGAGGTCGCGGAGGGTGAGCGTCATCTGCGAGCAGAGGTCGGAGACGTCGGAGCGCTGCGCCGGCGCCGCCGCGTGGGCGCTGGCGCAGCCCCCCGCGAAGAAGGGGAAGCTCCACGGCTTTCTACCTGGAGCACGGACAAATTAAAGGGGAAGAAAGAACACATTCTGAGCATCCGTAACCAGGGGACGGCAACGATCCGGGGGAAGGGGAAGGTTAGGTGGGTACCGGACGTGGCGGCCGGCTGCGGCGGCGGCATGAGGACGAGGATGAGGACGGCGTCGCCGGGCCGCGCGACGTGCGCCAGCGCCCACGCGGCCGCCGCCCGGGGCACCTCCCTGGCCGCGGCCCGCGCCGCCACCACCACCGCCGCGCGCGTCGGCTCGCCGGCCGCCATCCACGGAGCGCGGTCAGGCTTCGAGCTTCCGCCGGCGTGTCCCGCTCGCTGGCTGGCTTCTCTTTTGGCAGCGCGCTGTTCGAATTTGGATTTTGGAAGTGGGGAGCAGACGAGCAGAGATGAGAAGACTGTCAGAGGGTGAGATGGTCTTTTTGTCCTGTCTTTTTCACGTCGTTTGAAAAAAAAGGGAGAGCCATTATTGCT